CGCAGCCTTCCTGTCGCTCCGTCCTGGAGCCCGCCATGGGGCCCTCCTACCTGTTCGGCTACACGTAAGAGTGACCCTTGGCCGGAGTGACCTTTGGTGCGAGCCCAATGCGGCCCCCCAGTCGCCGAAATTCGCCGAGTGCGAGACGTTGGCGGCGGCTTGCGCGCCTGTGTTTGGCCCCGCGGCGGCCCCCGCTAAGCCGCGCACCAAAGGTCACTCTTGCCCATGGTCACTCCTGCGTGTAGCCGATACCTGGGCGTAGGTGCTTTGGCAGGCCGCGGGGGCAGCTTCTCAGAGGTCCTGGGGGGGGGGGCACCTTGGCCCCAGGGGCACCGCCCCAGTGCTCCGATGGCGCGACCTGCCCACAGCGGGGACACGCGGCCCTGCGGCCCAGAAGCCCTCGCGCTGTGAACAGATCGTGACGGGAGGTTTTCGCCATTCTCCGCCTCGGGGGGGCCCTTCCCGGGCCTCGGGGCCGTCAAAAGACGATCCAGGATGGAGGACCGGTTCCGGGGGAGGGCTCCAGACTTCTGGGGGTCGACGTCACAGGGTTTAGGGTCTAGGGCCTCTCTGCCCGCGGCGGCCGACAGTCTAAGGCATTGCTGCCCCCCCCTTCGGCAAGCTTGTTTCTTGCCGAGGATGCAGAATGTGCAACAACTTCCCACCCCCGGCTGCATGGCCGGCGACCTCCCATACTAAAGCCTTTTTTCAAACAGTGGCGAAGAGTCCTGGTTCGCCATAGGCAATGTTCTAAGAACCTTCTGTGGTTTCCACGAAATGTTCGTAGAACATTTCTGGCGGAGTCTGTCTTTTGTTAAAACCCAAAGAAAACACATCGTTTTTGTTTTTATGTAACAAGAAGTACACATCGGGTTTATTTTCTAAGAACATTGTTTTGTTATTCGAACATGCTCGGGTTCCAGGAGCCTTTCGTGCTAGCACTATAGGAATGCCGGGACGGTCGGTCCCTGTTTAACTTTTAGGGTACAGGGCCGCGGGCCCCTAAATTTCCAAGCCTCGAGCTGTGCTGGCCCCCGGGGCCCGCAGCTGGGCGAGAACGCCCGGCGCGAAGACGCAAAGTGGCGGCGCCCAGATCCGCGAGTGTACACATTGTTCATTTCATTGTTCGAAAATGCTTTGATTGTTTTGGGGGCGAAGATCCTTTCATTTCTAATTGTTCTATCCTGGGCCTCTTCCTGGCCACTAGGGGGCCAGGAACAAGTAGAAGCGAGCACGATTAGAAATGAGCACGATTAGAAATGAACGACGTGCAGTGCGCCCCCGAGCAGGCGGCGAGGAGTGGGACACCATCGCCCCGCTGGGCCACAGGGCGCTGAGCCTGCAGGCGCACGCGGCAGCAAGTCACGGGGGCCTGACATTTTTCGAGCGGGCCAGCCTCGATTAGCGTCTGGTGAGTGATGAGATAGCGCCGAGTGAGCGTCGATTCGCTCGACGAAGAAAGAACACATATAAACATCAACTTTTGGCGCTCCGCGCGGATTTCTTGGATCCGCGCTGGGAGCACCCCTGCGGCGCCTCCGGCGCCGCCCCTGGCGCGCTCCGCGCGCCAGGGAGGGGGGCACAGAGCGGAAATCTGCGCGGAGCGTCAAAAGTTTATGTTTACGCGTGTTTCTTCTTCATTCGCGTCGATTCGCATCTAGCGTCGATGCGCAAAAGCCAACAAAATGGTATGGGAGGCCCCCATGAGTTGCCGCAGAAGCGAGGGGCTCCTTAAGAACCCTCCCTGCTGCCAAGAAGCTTCCTCAGAACCCCCCTGGCTCTTCTAAGAGTCCCCCTGCCTTCTAAGAACCCCCTCGCCTTCTTAGAAGCCTCAGCGCAGATGGGGGTTCGGGGAAGGGGGGAAGTCTTCCTGGAAACAACCTTGCTTTTTAGAAGGCATGGGCCTGGTCTGTAGATGTAAGGCCGGCGCAGTCTAACCAGCAGCCTCCTCCTCAGACGCCTGCACCCTTCCCCTACCCCCCCCTGTGCGCGCCGCCAAGCAGGCGGAGGGCGACAGCAACATGGTGTCACTCGCATCCAGGCCTGCGCTGGGGCGAGAGCACTACAGTCAAGACGCTGAAAATAAGGACCGCTGTGGGTTTGGAAGGGGGGTCGCTGTTCCTTAGGTCATTCCGTGGTTGTCCTTAGCCTTCCTCGCGCACCCAGGCGCTTCTGGTGCCAAACGGGGGCTTCGTGCCTTATATCGCGTTTCTTACTGCAGCAGCCCAATTGTATTCCTGAACGACGGGAGCAGGGCGCCAATCCCAAAACGAGACCAGCGCTGCAGCGGGAGCGTCGTAGACCCCCTAAACCCCTAAGCCCCCCCTTGTGCGCGCCGCCAACCCAGACATGCGACGTTCTGATTTTCTTCAGTGCGGCGTCCCCAGAAATCCAGACCCTTTTCCCGGGGCCAGTTTTTTATCCTGAGTCTTTTTTGACGGTTCCGAGGCCCGGCGAGGGCCTCAAGTCGCAGAAAATAGCAAGAACAACTCCACTTTTGTTTTTGTTTTTTCCGACGCGATCATGTCTAGTAGCACAAGTTGCCGCACAGGAGGTGTCCACGGACGCCACCGACGCCCGGGCGCAGCGCGCGTCCTGCGAGCGGCTTGCCCGGCGGCGCGACCGGCCGCCCGCCGCCGGCGCCGAGGCTCGGTGACCACATGTGAACCCTACCTGTGCCTCTGCCCCCCACGGTTTCTAAGGGGGGTGGGGGTTCACTTCGTTCGGGAGGCATCGAGCGAAGTGAACCCCAACCTTCCCTTAGAAATCGTGGGGGGTGGGGGTAGAGCTAAGTCGGGCCTGTCCCTCTACAGGAGGAATATTCAAACATAGTGAAAAATAGTGTGGGGACGATGTTTCTATGATTTATTTTTGACTATTTTGGAATATGTTTTGAGTATTTTTTTTTTCCTCTAAAATCCGCCTGTAGGGGGACATGCCCGACCTATGGGTAGGGTTCACACTTGGTCGCCTAGAGGCGGCCCCGGCCGAGGCCGAGGCGGCCCCGCGGCGTCCAGACTTCGACCGCCTGAGGCGCATGGCCCAGCCCAGGGAGCGGGCCCCCGAGGCTCCGGGCATGGCAAAGAGCAAAGACCCCCCTCCTCCTCCTCCTCCACATCCTCCTCCTCCTCCTCCACCTCCTCCTTCTCCACCTCCTCCTCCTCCTCCTCCTCCTCAACCTCCTCCTCCTCCTGCTCCTCCTCCTCCTCCTCCTGTTCCTCCTCCACCTCCTCCAACTCCCCATCCTCCTCCTCCTCCACCTGCTCCTCCTCCTCCTCCTCCTCCTCCTCCACCTCCTCCTTCTCCTCCTCCTCCTCCTCCTCCTTCTCCTCCTCCCCCTCCTTCTCTCCCTGCTCCTCCTCCTCCTCCTCCTCCTCCTCCTCCTCCTCCTCCTCCCCTCCACCTCCTCCTCCTCCTCCTCCTAGTCCTCCTCCTCCTCCCCCTCCTCCTCCCCCTCCTCCTCCCCCTCTTCCTCCTGCGCCTCCTCCTCCACCTCCTCCTTTTCTTGTGTAGACATCCCGGAGGGGTCGGAGCCCAGAGAGCGAACGCATTGAAAAAAACAAAAGGCGGAGGTTTTCTCAGGCTTCGGCCTCCGGGGGCCCTCGCCGGGCCCCGGGGCCGTCAAAAAAGCGATTCGGGATGAGAAACCCGTCCCGGGGAGTGGGTCGAGATTTCTGGTGGTCGACGTCATGAAGAAATCAGGACGTCGCATGTCTGGGGTTCGGAGGATCGCGCCGCATGGCGGATGCATCGCCGATGTATCGACGCTGCAGCTCGACGTGTAGCCCGACTTCCTCCATGCCGGCGGCGCCGACGCATCGCCAACGTCGCCCGTGCATCGCCGATGCATCGGCGATGCGATCCAATTTTCCGACCCCATCTGCACGGACCCCATCTAGGAGGCCACTATGGGAACGGCAAAGAACCACAACGACAATTGAGTGGATTGTTCGGGAGGGTTCCTCGGGGGAGAACCCACCGACCTCGACATGAACACTTTGTTTGTGGCAGTGGTCGATTTGGCCGTCCTTGGACGCCACATCGACCACAACCAGTACGAAGCTGGCTTCGGTTGTCTGACAATTCTTGGCATGCGCAAGTCATTCCCCAGGGTGTGTCCTCGATGTGGTTGTGGTCGCTTGCTGTCCCCGTAAAGGTCGGAGGGGGGCCAAGTGCACTCGAAGCAGAATAATACAGTGCATAGACATACACTTTTGGAGCTCCATACACATCGGGGGCAGGAACATCGGGACCAGTACCGTTTTGGGACCAGGAACACGTCCTCGACAGGCGATCATCTGATCAAGATGCCTCCTCCCGAGAAGCTGGGGCAGCGTTTCTTATCACCAGCTTGCCGGGAAACTGGCCCAGCTTCTTGAGCATTGTCGACCCTCCTGCGTTAGCCGCAGAAGTTGGCCCAGGCTTGTTGTTAAGAAACCTCAGGGAAGCTGGCCAGGATTTCTGAAACGATAATTAGATTGAGCCTACTTTCGGTTGTATGCCATGATCGTTTTGCAATCCACTACTCAGTGGCAACTTGCGGCCCAAGCACTTTGTGCATATACATACATATATACACATTTTTACATGTATTCAGACACATGTATTTACCGATGCGGTACGTGTTTGTTCAGCGCCTGTCGCCCGGAGAGCCCGCCGGACTGGGAGTTCCTCGGTAGCGTCATTTCCATTGTTTCCGGAATTGCATGACCTGCTCGCTGAACCGGAGGAAACATGGCTCTGCGATTGGAGCCAAGCCACAACCAGAAACATAGATGGCGACGGAACGGTGAAACAAACGTCGGACCCAGACATCCGATATCGTGATTTTTTCATTGCGGGGTCCCCGAAAGTCTCGACCCATTCCCCGGGACCGGTTGTTCATCCCGAGTCGTTTTTTGACGGTCCCGAGGCTCGGCGAGGGCCCTGAGAGGCCGAAGACGGCAAAACACCCCCGCCGTGATTGTCTCAATGCGCTGGATCTCTGGGGAGCCAGACAAAAACAAAGGGCAACTCCAAGAGCCGCTGAGGTTAAGTCGGGCCTGTCCCTCTACAGGAGGAATATTCGAGAATTGTCAAAAATAGTCTGGGGATCATTTTTTGAGTGCTTTGGGGCATCTTTTGCATATGTTCGGGGTATTCTTTCTTTTTCGTCGAAAACCACCCCTGTAGGGGGACACGCCCGACTTAATGCTGAGGTCTGGGCGTGTATCTCTGGCGTCCTGCGAGGGGCTATTTTTGTAGTCTTTGGGGGATTTGTTTGAATCTGTTCGGGGTATTCTCTCTTTTTCGTCGACAATATCCTTGTAAGGGGGACACGCCCGACTTCACGCTGAGGTCTGGGTGTGTCTCTCTGGCGTCCCGCGAGGGGCTATTTTTGTAGTCTTTGGGGGATTTGTTTGAATATGTTCGGGGTATTCTCTCTTTTTCGTCGACAATATCCTTGTAAGGGGGACACGCCCGACTTCACGCTGAGGTCTGGGTGTATCTCTCTGGCGTCCCGCGAGGGGCTATTTTTGTAGTCTTTGGGGGATTTGTTTGAATATGTTCGGGGTATTCTCTCTTTCTCGTCGGCAATATTCTTGTAGGGGGGAACACGCCCGACTTCACGCTGAGGTCTGGGTGTGTCTCTCTGGCGTCCCGCGAGGGGCTATTTTTGTAGTCTTTGGGGGATTTGTTTGAATGTGTTCGGGGTATTCTCTCTTTCTCGTCGGCAATATCCTTGTAGGGGGGAACACGCCCGACTTCACGCTGAGGTCTGGGTGTGTCTCTCTGGCGTCCCGCGAGGGGCCGGCCAAGGCCGCAGCGCGCAGGCCGCGGCCCAGGGAGCCCCACGACGCGGCGGGCGCCGCGCCCGGCGGGCGGGCGGGCGCGGGCAGGGCAGCGGAGGACCGCGCGGGCGGCACCGGGAGGAGCAGGAGGAGAGAGGAGGAGGAGAAGGAAAGAGGAGGAGGAGGAGGAGGAGGAGGAGGAAAGAGGAGGAGGAGGAGGATGAGGAGGAGAAGAGGGCCCCTGGAGGCCCAACACTTCGACAAACCTCCGCCCCTGATTTTTTTAATGCGTTGGATCTGACTTCGCGTTTCAAAGTGGTCGTCCTGGCTTCGCCCGAGGTTCAGCCACGCGCAGAGGGGGGTCGGGGGAGGGGGGAGGGTTTCTTAGAAGCACCCCTGCTTCTGAGAGGGCGCGGGCCTTCTCTATGCATGTAAGGCCGGCGCCTTCTCAGAGGCAGCCCCCTCCTAAGAAGCCTTCCCTCCAGCAGTGGCGGAGCATCCTGGCTCGCCTATGGTCACAAACTGGAACATATATACATTACCAGATTGGCGGGCTGTTTTTCCATCCCACGGCTTTTTTGAAGGGTCAGGGGCGACGTCGGGGCGGTGTGGTGTGTACTGCTGCTCCAGCGTTTTCCAGGGGAAGCAACGGAAAATGTATACACCGGGATCCCGTATGCACCAGAGTCCGCGTTCCTGTGCGAATTTCAGCGCAGGGTCGGGAAAAGCGTCGGTGTATAGAGTTCATTTCCTTATATAGCCCTACCAAGCAACATTCTAAGAGCCTCTTGTGGTTTCCACGAGATGTGGTTAGAACATTTCCGGTTGGGACTGTCCCGTTTTGTCGCATCGGCTTTGTGTTCTGCGAGCACTGTTTTCGTTGTTCGAACAGCTTTGGGTTCTAAAAAAATTCGTGGTAGGACTATAGGAATGCCGAGACGGTTGGTCCCTGCTCAAACCAGGGGGGCCATCAGTGCGGGGGGGGGCGAGGATCCCAGAGATCCGACGCTCCAACGAAAATTTGAGCGGGCGGATTTGGGCAGATTTCGGCCTCCTGGGGCCCTCGCCAGGCCTCAGGAGCGTCAAGAAATCATTCGGGGCGAACAACCGGTCCTGGGGAAGTGGTCCAGACATCCGGAGCCCATGAATCAAAAAAATTGGAGCAGCGGGATGTTTTGGATTGCAGGAGAGTTGGAGCTGGCAGGAGGTCAAAAGGTGGCCAGGCACTGGTTCCGCACAGCAAGGAGGTGAGAGGGGGCAGTTTCGAGGCGTTGGGTTCAAGAAGGTTTTTTGTCTTTCGGCTTCCGGGGGTCGTGCACGGGCCCCGTCAAAAAATGAATCCCGGGTGAGAATCTGCGCCATCTGAACCTCGGGGGCGCCAAAGAGTGGGGTGATGACTAGGGGGGGGTGGATATCATGGCGGGGGCCATGATATTTCCGCAGATCTCATGGCGTCTCCTCTTGTTTCATTACGTCCCTGGCCCCCCCACTGGGCCGCGCACATGCCGCCGGTCATGATTTGCACACACCCCCTCTTGGACACCCACCTCTTGGCCGCTCCCGAGAACCCCGGGAGGGGTCCAGGGACAGATTTTGAGCAGAGTTGGCTTCGCCCCCCTGCTTAGTCGACATTTTGGGGCCCCATGCAGCTCAGACCCCCCGGCCGCCTCCAACCTGCAATTGGGCCCTATGCAGCCCCTGACCTTGCACATCGCTTGACCGATGCATAGGCCCACCTGCGCCCTAGATTGGGATGTAGAGGCTGTTTTATGTTTGAGAAACCTGTCCACAACTACAGTCGGGGTGCTGAAGAAGGAACCCTTTTCGTTGGGGAGGGGCTCGGTGTTCCTTGATTGTTTCATTGATTGCCTCAGGTTTTCCTTATGTTTTCGATGGGAAATCGAGGTTGAACTTATGGGAAAAAAGGGGCCTCGTTCCTTATTTAGGGTTCCTTGGGTCATCGCCTTGACTGTACGCCGTAGATGGGGATGTAGAGGCTGTTTTATGTTTGAGAAACCTGTCCACAACTGTGGTGGTGGGGTGGTGGGACAAGGGGGGGCCATGGCCTGGTGGGGATGGGTATAGGACACGGTGGGGGCGCTCGTTAAGGAACGTGCCCAGGAGGCTTCAGACCCTGGAGGGTTTCTTATCTGACGAGCGCCGTGGTGATATCCATGGCCAATCCACGATTGGAGTTCCACTGTCAGGAGAGAAACA